TTTTTTTTTTTTTTTTTTTTTCTAATGCAGCTTTCTCTTCGGAGTATTACTTGTCGCTGGCTGGTTTGAAACGCCTCAAGGGTATTTAGGTGCTTCTTCCGCGCAACAAGTGCTGGATACGCTGAGCCTCCCAAACTGCGAGGTTTCACTTGTGAAAAGACTCTTTTGTCTCAAATTCCATTATCGCACGTTTGATGGCACATGCAACAATCTCTGCAACATTACAACCGGAGCCGCCTTTACACCGCATGATCGGTTCCCAGGCTTAGATCCTCCTACTGCGTATGAACAACCAGGCAACCAACCTCGGCAATTCTCGTCCGTAAGATTTAAAGGCAAGCGCATTCGCCTCCTAAATACGAGGTTTGTTAGCAAGATAGTGTTTGATAACTATCCAGACCGAGCAAGTTTTACCCACATGGTAATGACGTGGGGTCAATTTTTGGACCATGATCTCACGCTCACTGAATTCACTGTGGGGGTCAACCCACAGCTCGATTGTGGCACGAGCCAGGAACCTTGCCCCAGCCTGATTGAAAAACCTTTCTGCTTCGGAGTCAACATCAGCTCCAGGGTAAGGCTATCGGGCGATCCTCTTGCACGGTGTACTCCTCTTGTCAGGTCAGAGCAGAACAGCCACGGCAATCAGGTCAGTTGTTATCCTTGATGACACCGCGGGGGGTGGGGGTACTCCCATATATGGGCGACATGGGTATGTGCAGTTCCAAAGGATATGGTTTTCAGCCTTTTTGGTCATAAATAGAGAATCGATTTTGGCCATGTTGGTCATAAATAGGGTATGGTGTTTGCACACTAGTCTTGAATTGGGTATGTTTTTAGAAGAAGCTTCATCGTTATTGATAAGACCATCGACAAAACCCTTCCGAAATTACGTTTAGAGCAACTGTGCCAGCCGCAACAGTCATCAATAGAATATCGATTTTTTGGTCAGGTCATTTGTAGAGTAGGGAAAATCGAAGATTTTGGTCATAAATAGGGTAAGGGTTTTTAGAAGCGGGACGCACACCCCCACCCAATTTTTCTGGGAGTACCCCAACCCCCCAGGGATGACACGTAGGTCAGTTTCTGATCTTCTGAGATCACACATTTGTCAGTTTATTATTTTTTTTAAATTAAACGCAGGTCATGGTCAACTTTCTTATCATAGATGACAAATAGATCAGTTACTTATTTAATGCTATCATCTATTTAATAATTACACTTATGTGAATGTATCTTTCTCCAATGTAAGTTGTAACAAAGTTCTGACACAGAAAACATCAAAATACATTATTTTGCGTAACATAAGCATGTCATGTTAATTAGTTATCTCTCGTGTTCAGACTTATACTATAAGGGATTAGTGGAAATCGTTGTATATTCAGTTCTAAATAATTCTACAGGTTCCTTGGCTTATAAACAGTTTAGCGTACTTAGCAAAATGAACGGTTGTTTTTCTTATGCTAATTGAACTAAATTTTCCTACGATAGATAAACGAGATAACCGCTTACCTTGATGGATCACAAGTGTACGGCTCAGATCTCGAGACAGCAAAAAGCCTTCGCTTCTTCAAACTGGGACTTTTGATAGTTGAACCTTTCATTAACAGCAGCGACTTACCCATTCTTCCAGCACAGGAGTCTGTGGGCGGTGAAGCAGGCTTCTGTAGATCTAACGATACTGAAACTCAGCCTTGCTTCAGAGCTGGGGATCCTCGAGTGAACGAAAATCAAGGTGGGAGAAATTAGAGACTTAACTTTAAATCATGCTGTTAAGAAATCCGAAACTTAGCAAATCTATCAAGAGCCAGCAGGTGAAGCGAAGCATTCTTAATCAATCAATCAATCAATCAATCAATCAAACCTAAGGTATTAGGCGCTGGTGTTTACAATACACATGCGTCTCCGATTAGGCTTGTCTTTCTACTATGTTCCTATTAAACTATAAGCTGACTAAAGACTTTCTTTCGGTTTCTGACGTTTTCTTTAAGTGCAAGGCCCATCACGTCATGAGTGGCCTTTGAGCTGAACAGGCCACCTTGACGGTAAAAATAAATTTTTACTTTACTTTACTTAAATGCCAACACACCACATGACCACCTAACCATTTTATTCTGTTTTTTGACAGCCTTAATGGCAATGCACGCTCTGTGGGTTCGTGAACACAACCGTATTGCCAAACACCTGTTCACTCTGAATCCATCGTGGAAAGACGAGAAACTCTATCAAGAGGCGCGCCGAATCGTTGGTGCCATGTTACAACACATTACATATAATGAGTGGTTGCCAACACTCATCCCCAGTCAAAGATTGGTAAGACCTGCAAGGAATAACATAATGTAATAATTCATCCTTTCTTTTCTCGTTTAAGCAAAAAATACGTAGATATATATTTATTTACAAGTTCTTTTCAAAGGGTTGACATGGACACACACCAAGGGCTTATCCACAAACTTAAAGGATTGATCCGCCTTTTACAGCAAATGCGTAGGTGATGACATCACCGTAGTGATGACCCTTAGAATACGTGCAAAGTACAGTTAACTTCGCTTCGCGAGGATTGCTTTCCTTCGGCAAAGTTATAAAGCGATTGATTCATGCCTCTAGCTGTGCATCAGCAACTTATGATGCAGTTCAGTGTAACGTATAGAAAGTACTCAAGACGCTAAGCTAGTCTTCTTCGGGCAATTCGTACGCTTCTTTCCTGCTCTAGCGCTCTCCAAACTTCGTGCGTGCATCATATCTCGGCGAAACACGCTAAAGCATGAATCAATTGCTGACTTTTTATTTTGATCCGGGGCGCTCCAAGTGAATGGATATTTGCTATCAGCAGTACACCGTATAATCTAAGAGATTCTGAGATCAAACTAGACTTTCCCAAGCCGCGCAAACTGCAAGCGTGGCTTTCACCTATAGCGGGGCGCTATTATGGAATGACCAGCCCGTCTAATTACGGAAAT